ATTGAATAAATATCGGCTAGCGGTTGAGTATTCCCAGGAGTAGGGAGAAGGCTAGATTTAAATTCCAGAATATACCCATTATGACGCGAGAACACATTCAGAGACGAACAATTGTTTTCATCTTCTAACCTGTAAAGATCAAAAAGCAAAGTGGCATGTTGAACGGGGATAGACATTAAGTAATTCAAAAGTCATGGTGATTGGCTGAAAGAAAGAGGAATGGGGGGATGAGTGGTGCGACGTGTTTCACACCCCTAGGTCGCCACAAAACTGCAATCCAAGTGTGATGGGTCATCCGTGCGATCGATCTTCGGTCAAGACAGTTGAATGGCATGGGCCTATCTCTTGCGAATGACTGAATGTCTACCCCCGTTCAGCATGTCATTTCCTTATCTGATCTGTACAAGCTAGAAGATGAACCAATGAAAACAATTGTTCGCCTCTGAATGTGTGTTCTCAATACTAGATTTGCAACGAAAGTAAGTAGATGCACGAACTCTGTTTCAGTCATATCACTGACTAGGTCAATCCCGAGGACTACAACCAGGAAACCTGGTGTGACCTAATTCCCTGTGCTAGGTAATCGTTTGACCCCTGTGAACAATCGACTGTCTCCTGCCTGCCCTGGCAGACATCACAAGTCTATTCTATTCCTGTGGCTAAAGTCTCAGATAATCAGTATTGGTTATGGTGTCGTGCTTACGTACTCTTCTGTCACGAGAGATCACAGCACTAAGGATAATAATATTAATAACATTAGAGACCAATCAATGCAGCACATTATAAAAATAAAGCCACCTTGTTCACGGCCACAGCGTCACTAGTGTTTGACTGTGATGCTACTATTGATGCAGGCCGATCTGTCCGAGCCCGTTTCCGTAAGGCTCTCTGTTCACGCTCCTCCATGGTAAGTCGACGATAGGTGAGCGCATTTCGAAGCTCCTTCAGCACGGAAGAATGCAACGGAACAATCGAATTCTGTAACAATAAAAGAAAAACGGAAAAAAGATAAACAGTTATCACCAAACTGGGAGCGAATTACACATACACAACTGTTTCCATAGAACAAGCCCGTTTCGTTTGGTGAACACTCGATATTCGATTGAATAAAATCCTGAAGAAAAGCGATCTTGACGGAAATCTCACCTATCAGGGAACCGCTCTACAAGAAATAGCTCATGGTGATTTAAGGTCACCGCGAAATTTACAAGTCGTTCTGGCATATAGAACAGCTGACTGTGAAAGCAAAACATTCAAACGGCCATCTGTAGACTTAAACGGAACAGATGAGATAAATGAAAGTTTAATTTTTCATGATCGGATTTACGAAATAAGACTACGACAGATAACGACTGATGTTCGGGTGAATCATGAAAAGTCCTCGAAAGGACAATAGAGTGGTCCACAAAAGATTCCATGACTAGCCATGGAGCCTGAGCTAAGAATCGAAGATCATCATTATCATCATTGCAGAGTGAACTTCAATGATCGTTGCCAAACTCGCATGGCATATGCACTGGGGTTTTATGAGCGGGTACTGCTTCGGTGTCCAGCCACTATAAGCAGAACGATTAGGGTTCTCAACCAAAGTCTTTAGTTGTGACAAGAACCTAGCTGCGAGGAAACGGATGATGCGAAATGGAGGCCCATTTACCTGGATCAATTATTGCTCCACTAGTTTTTTACCGATAAAACGCAAATTCTAGTCGAACCCTCAACCTGGAGGATTAGGAGAATGGACTTTGTCTGACCTCTACCCTTCGATCTTCTAGGCATGATTAGATCGTCGGCTCGATAAAAGCCATTCGGTGTAGCTCGTTGGATCATAGCCATAACCCCATAACCAAGCCATAACCCCACATGAAGGTGCAGTCTCGTCGTGATGGTAAGAACCGGAGAAGCAGAGAACGAAGGTTTCACACTGTGTGGAGGAAGTCATTCGCGTACATTCACTGTTCAAGCGGTTTGTATAGACGACACTGACAAGTGATTATTCAAATGACAGGATAAATCTCTACCTTCCAAAATTCAGTCCACTTAACTTCGATGTCACTCGCCAAAATTTTACAATAATTTTTCAGTGAAATCTCAGGTGGTTTGCTAATCTTGTTTAAGTTTGCTGTGCGCATCGTAGGCCTTACTAAAAACAAAACAGGATTTACTTCTAGGGTATGTGATTAACAAACCTCATATATCAACCAGGTAATCTAAACTGGAGACAAACTGGCGACAAAAGTATTCTGCAAAAATGTAAGGAACGCAGTTTTATTCCATTGAAACTAAGGGAAACAAATTTTTCCGATGCATAGTAAATTTCAATCAATAAGTGATAAAACTGCTTCAAAACGAGAAAACGGTTAGCTACACATGACTTTATGCTACGGACATGACGGGCTTTAGGGATTATCGGTTTACTGCGAACATCATGTCCTTTACGATTGAAATGCCACATAATATGCGAATGAGAAAGAAAAATGTGCGAGCATCGAGTAACGCGAACTTGCCACATCATCGTCCAGATCGTCCGTCGGTTTCACCTCACCCTCATCATTCGAGTCCTCGCCGACCGCGATATCCTCCAAGACCTTAAAGACAAGGCACGATAATGAGGTACATGCCAGCCATGCACTAACTTCAGTGAAAAAATTGCTCCTCACAATACCCAGTCCAAATATTACGTAAATATACCAATTGGACCAAAAAGGTATCACAAATTTACGAAAATAGAATAAAAATCGTTTAAACTGTTTAAACAAACATGAAATAGTTTGGACTAATGCAATTTCTCGCGTATTAGGTCCAATGTGTGAAAGACCTCCAAAAGAGCTGCATGTCACCTGGTGCGTCTCTATGCCGTGCACAGGGAAACGGCTGCCAGTAACCTGCTACTAATAAGGTCACCGCCCCTCCCCACGCGTCTACACTACAAGATATTTCAGAGGAGGCGAATAAACCAAACTGCCGACCACTGGCTATTATGAAACAACCTTACTGTCTTACCACTTTCATTGGGATGCAGGAAGTCTAGAAGAGCAATCAGGAACAAGGTGCTGAGCACAATCGCTGAAACCCCATTCGGGAGAACCTCTATGGCTCATTGCAGTCCCTGGAGCTTAACATTCCTATAGCATGAGATAACAGTATAAAACGGCTATAGCACACGATGCAAAAGGGTATTATGGTAATGTACGACAACGGTACATCCTTTTTCGCCACATGTACTCTATCAATTTGCCTATTGCAGTTCCAGGTCAACCATTGATGCGTTAGCATCCCTTATTTATTATGTGCCTTCCTCCTTGGACAGGAAATGTAAAGCTGTTCGTGTATGTTTCTTTGATTATGGCGATGCTTTTAATTGTGTTGATAGGTCCCAACTTCTTCACACTCTTTCTGAGAAAGCCGGAGCTTAGCAATCTGTTAAGTAATTATTTCACCCATCGATTAGTTTACTAAATATAGGGTTCGTAACTCTTCACTTTTACCCTCCACTCAAGGAGTTCTTCAAGGAACTATTCTCTCTCCCTTCTTGTTCACAACCTATATTTCTTCAATGCCTGCTTTTGATGATTTTTTGCTCATTAAGTGTACCGAAGATGTTGTGCATGGGATGAAGTTTTCGAATTCTTCCAAACTTATGCAGAATATTTCACTGCTCACCGACTGGTCTTCACAACACAATCTTAGAATGAATCTTCCAAGTGTAACGATGTTTGACTAACATATTGATGTGATGAACTCTTGTCAGCATATCATCATCAATGGTGAACAAGTTTCCAGAGTACGTTCCGTTAAATATCTTCGAGTCATTTTTCTTGGTCTCCTCATGTCATCGAGACATTTCACGAGGTCATGAAACTCACTTCTTACATTATTCGTTTGAAAATGCTATCTACCCCAACTCACCTAATAAAGCGTTTCGTTTTCTCTTGTATCCTTCCCCACCGGCTTTATGCATCCCCTGTTATATTTCCGGCTCTTTTTATTAAAGACTTCAAACTCATACGCACATCCATCGAACAATTATGTGGATACAGCCGCATATCTCGTGAGTATGTTGTGCAGTTTATTATTTCACAACGCCTTAGGGCTTGCCAGAAACTTTCAATCAGAGTACTACTTGACCCATCTCATTCACTGTACCTTCACCTTAGTCAATGTAGCTCCACATCTAACATTCGCTCTACGTATAAGCATATAGCGCCACGCACAACAACATACAAGTCTTTCGTAATACCGTACTTGGCATGGTTTCTTACGAACGCTGATCTTGTCATTGGGCCTCTTAAATAAAATCTTTGCTAAACTTCTCTTATTTTTTGTATATGTAATGTATTATCGTCCGTTTTTTACCATGCCATTTCCACAGAAGAGTGATTGTGTTGTAGCTGAATGTTCATACCCTATGGGGCGAATTAAAGTCACTTCTTGATTTGATTTGACCTGACTTGAACGAAACTATGTACCACAAACAAATCGACTGAGTGACCCTGAAAATAACCATTCGAATAACTCTGTGGATCAAATAACAAGAACGACAGATTTACTAGGGTCACTTCAAGCAACTACGAGAAGTGAGCGAATCTTTGATGGAAATGAAATGAAACTACCTGGATGAAATTAAATAAAAAATTGGAATTACCATATCAAAAGGAGAACCTTTCAAAATTACAAAACATCTTACATCCTTAGATAGAATTAATTAAAATTAAAATCCACTGTATGTATTAAGTACATCTTTCAGTACAATAAGAAGTAGTATATTACAAATAATGAAACTAACTCAGATTCAGATAAACGCAATATTCGAACGAATGTTTGTAATAGACTACTTATGAGTAGTTAAACGCATATATTAAAAAGACAATCTTAACCTGAAATTCGCTTGCGCTCTGAATTTGTAGCGACGACAGAAAATTGATGAACCACATAATCGAACTTTTCAGGCAACGTTTCAGATTGCGAAAAAGGAAGTCATCTGATTGTCGCTATGAAGGCCCTGATACCTCAATCTAGTTTTTCGAAACGAAAGCCGCTGAAATGGTTACTGCGGGATAGTAAAACTTGAACTTTATGACTGAAAGATACATTCATAGGTTAGACGCTTTAGAGTATCCGTAGGCAGACTGGCCTAGGTGGTCGCAGGTGGAGGGATTAGAAACCACTGGATGAAAATTTACATAATTCGGAGGGTTTCAGTGAAATATTTGGTGTAAAAATGAATTACCAAGAGTACACTTCATGAATTATGACATGAGCTGAGTCTTGCACTCGAGTGCTTTGAACCGTAATGCCCCATGTAGCTACCCCGGAGTGGTTGTCAAGCCTATGACGTGGATCCTGTTTATGAGTAGATACCTTGATTTTCTGGACAAACGTCGCAAAAATTTTGTAGCCAATGGGGTTGAAACAGTGAAGGACACAGAAACGAATCATTAGCTTCGTGTCATTCTAGCTGTGACGGCCCAAGAGTCCTTATCGCTTCCCGCCGTGTTTCATGACCATAAAACTGAATTTTTTAGTCACAAACAGGTTAAATTACCAGAGTCCACATATTCCTATCCAAATCGATTCAATAGCCCCACTGAACACTTCACAAAAACACCAATTAGTAAACGATCTAGTTCTCCCGCGAACTCCAGCTGGTTGCCAGAAACCGACAGTGAAGGATATTCGATATCTGCAAAGCAATATCTACACAATTTTTCATCCATAAAACGAAAATCTTCCTTTTCTGGCCCGGGACGTACATGAAGACGAGCGTCGAACGAGTCTGACATAAGTGCACGACGGTCGGTACAGATTCTTTGGATATTAAAAGCACATCTCCAGTGGGCAATCCATCTCAGCCCAACTGGGGTCGAATTGCACGAAGCGTTAAAGCAAGGCTACAGCGTTTCCCTCGTAGAAAACAAAGCCTGGGTTATGTTTTAGCAGCGGTTTTCGTTGCCCACCCTGTAGTTTAGGTATATCAAACCAATCAAGATTCTGTCAATGAAAAGCAGTTCATTCTACTCGTCAGACACAACAGCTTTCCACAACTCAACAGAGTGCATCTCGAAGCGGCTGATGCATCTATGGCGTCTCGAACTCGACTCTCATCATACGATTCGTCATTGGGAGCTGAAACTTTGCTTCCTCACTCGGCACGCTATCACCTAGTTGCGTAACATGCTAGTGACATCGATGCATCACTCACTTGAGGCGCGCCTTTCGATGGTAGTCGATTATTTAGAGAATCTTCACCCTTTGTGGTGCATTCAGACCACCGATTTCTAAAACCCACCTAATCGTACTTTGTTAATCTGGAAAGACACTCCTGTTTTACGAAGGATGAAGACTTACGCGAGTCGACGGCAAATATGACAATATTCTTCTTTTGGAGTCCCGTTTACCATGAAACATCGATTACTACCCGGTGTAAGGCGGAATCTATTAGCCCCTTTGTGTCGTTTGAGCCGTCAGCCAAACAGCAGACCTTCATTAGCCTAATGCCTTCGATATCCAAGTGACAGATTTACCGGTCTTCTATTTAACGATAACCCGATAAAACTTGTTGTATTTTCGCATCCAGTCCTAATAGAAAGAAAACGGATAGCTAATGCCTTTTCCTTTCCATGCACGATGAATAGGGGTCAACTGATTACCGTATATGTAAATCCGGTTACTTGATTGCATAGTCTGGTACTTTGTGTCGTGAACACAACTACACGCGATTACAGAGCACCGTGCGTAAATTGTTCACTTTTCTTAACAAAGTAACCTCGTAAACAAAATAACAATGATCTGTCTCAGAAATACTTTTTATAAATATAACGTTCAGCAGCACGGGGGAAGAAACTTTGATAAACCACATTCAATTAGTGCTCACATCATCTTCGGGGTCGACGTCTTGAGCCTTCAGTGCTGTACGCGAAGTGGCGTTTTCCAAACTTTGGAACACGAAATTGTCCCGTTGATCTGTTCCTTTGTCGGATGCCACATCATCCCCAGTCGCAGTATCAGGCCAAAACATTCTTCGAAGTTCTTCTAGGGTATCACCACAAACATCTACCTGGCATCTTAAACGATCGAAGATGGGTAACCAGTCGTCTCGCGAGATATCGGCCTTGTAATCATCATCTTGTTCGATTAACTGTTCCAAATGCCGCGTGCTACGACCAAAACGACAAACAGTGATTCACAGTCACAGACAACAGTCATTGGAAGTTGAGAAAGATGGAGAACTATAGCATCTGCAAAGATTAAATAAGACTCAACTTCTTAAGGAATATTAAACCAGGATTGAGAGATCTATTGCTCTTGGTTTCTTGACGGACAGCCCCAATTCAATAAATTATGGGCTTAAAGCATGATTTTCGGGTAGTCAAGAGAGCGTATTCGGTGATTTAAAAATGTTTACAATGCAACACATAAGAAATTCTACAAAATGATGTTCCTATTGTGCTTAAAACTATCACGTAAGGAAATTTCGCTACACCCAAGTGATCTCTATTAGTAAGTGCATCGCTACCCAAATTCGGTGGTGAGTAGCTTTGCTGACAGCAGGCTAAATACAACTCGCGTCCGGTTGGGACCATATTTGGTTGGCCGAACCAGGAAACTGTTTCTGATCGCAGCAGAGTATGAGGGCTAAAAACACGTGATATAGTGTATTCAAGTAATCCACCGATTCACCTTTTATGTGAACATCATGGATCTCACCCATGCATCAAGATTAGCAATTAAGCAGCACCTACGATTTGTCAAATCGGAGTTGTGACTAGAATTTAACCGTACATAAATACCTCGGTGAATCACAATGAGAAACTTTAGTATTCGTCAACTCAGTTAGGATCACTCTTCTTAACAACAGTTGTCACTTTTCTATCGAACTGGTAGACAGTAGAGGAATAGTCAATAAATTCTGACTCATGGTCGGCATCTCGTGCGGGTCGGTCCATTTCTGCGCACACGCTTTGGAATAATTAGGTGCACCATCCAACATATCCCTTAGATCCCACGGCAAACGGCACCAAAGCAAGTGGTCAGTGCAGTAGCAAAACACCTGAAACAATCCGTAAACTGTAATGGGTGTGCGATGATTCACTGATACACTGACAGAGAGATAGGGAAGCTAAACCGGGATTGCGGATCGGACCAAAGTAATGTCACATAAACAAGATGCATTTTCGCACCACATGAATCACCGTTTAGCGAGGATGAGGTTTTTGTGCTTGTTTGACCTACAGAGATATATCGACTAGCGGAAACGTGCCTTGGTGTACCTATGCATGTGCATCTTACGTTTCACGAAAGGTGGTTACTAGCAAAACCCAAGTGTAACTAGAAGTAACAAATGTATTAGTAACTGCCAGAGAATGGTCTACGGATTTATATGCCTATGCCCAGGACTTGCCGGTAGTTGTCCGATAGACGTGATGTGCATCTGCTTCTTACCTTTTGATTGCAAACAACAAGTGCATTAACATGGTGCGTATCAAGCGTGTTGTAGGCTTCGATCCAGCCGGCATCTGGTGATCAAAATCTCCCGATGACGTTGGAAGAGTAGACGGCTTGTCGGTATCACAGCCACCACTTTCCACGTATTCACGTAATCGATCCAATCGATTCAACGGTTCATGCAAACTGTTCAAACTGCTCAAGAACTGATGCAACAGAGCGATCAAACGGACTAGATCAGATGCAAAAAGAGAGGAAAGTAATACTAAGCAATCCACGGAGACGAACAAACGACACGCTCAAAAGCAATGGTAGTTTGTGTTGTGTTAAAGTTAGAGTGCATTCGACAGTACAACACAAAACCGGTTTAGCTGCTTCGTAATTTCGATCAAGTCAAACACGTCCTTCCAAGACAGATGTCCATAATGGTTTATCTTTCGGTCGGGGAAAAGTTTCACTATTTACAAAACGAGTATGGTTCGGTGTATGGGACATGACAAACATACACACTGTTTGACATTCAAGGGCTTAGGAATATATTACCCTAGGATCATTTGCTTGCAAAACTGACTTTAGAAAGTTGATCCAAGTCGACTGATTACCAACTTTCTGACTAAGTTGTTTTGATGTACATCAAACATTTATGCATAGAAAAAAGTGATCGGGAAAGAACCCTTTATTTTATACCGTTGAGGATCTAGTAGTTTTCACCCAGTCTCACTGCTGTTGCTGCACGGTTCGCCCCTTCTTCTTTGTATTGCGTATTGGCTTCTTTTCCTAGAAAGTAGTACACACTCCAGTGATGTGGAAAGGCTAAGGAAAACCGATGGCTGATTCCGTTTATGACTGAGTCTCCAGTGATTCATTTTGAACTTCAACAAACGACATGAATTCTTCTACTGACTGTAGTCCGAAGTGAGAGCTATAGGAATACAGGTGGTCCGAAATCACCATTGAAAAATCCATGAGGTAAATCACAAGAGAAAGGTACTAACGTTGACAGTGCAGATGAAGGCGAACAGGGTTGGAGTCAGCAAATTACGATATCTCTATCTTTTTAACAAGCTCAAGGTAGCATTCTGACTTAAAATTAGCAGCTTGGTGAGGAAAACATATTGTAATCAATTGATTTACTAGCAAAAATAGCCGAAGAGAAGCACCAAATAGTAAATTGTATATTCCGTGTTCGAGGAAGATGACAAATCTATATCTGCCTGTAAGTCTTCTTGTTCGCCGCAATAAACCCAAGTAACATCACTAGAATACGAGTGGTTGTCACTTTTATTTGTATCAATGCATATCCACTCTCAAATACGTCATGAACATCTGCTTTTATGTCAGGAATAAGATCTCTACAGGTAATAACCATTGAGGAAGTAATAAATTGCAAACCGTATAGCCGGGAAAAATTTGCTCAGCATCATCATCATCGCATAGCGAAATACCGTGAAGTGAACTTCACTGAGCACAGTCAACCTCACAAAATACAAAAGTGAAAAAGTAAAAAAAATGACCACAAGAACGTCACATCTTGCAATGTTCCCAAGCAACAATAATGTTCACAGGAGCCAAAGTCTGGAAGACGACAAATGCCAGCACGACTAACCCTTCTGGCTTCATACCTTGTTTCTGCGTTGCCTGTTGACATCTACGTGATTTTCTCTAACCTGAGTAGGCAGACCAGTGCTAGTCTGGACATGAGCAATTCACGTCCCAACCAGCTAAGCCTACCGGTTACACCGGATGAATTTTACCCGGGAACATTTCCAGACTCATCCGTTTACTCCATCCGACCTACGCAAAAAGGGTAAAATAGAACTGATCGCACAATGGGGCTGTATAGGTAACCTTTCATTTTCAAGGGAACGTTACGTCGGAGGCAAAAGTGTTCCAGTGCTGCGTACGCTGCTCCAGCCCTATACGTGCGAATAGTTAATTCCTTTGCTGTGTCTTCATCATTTGTCATACAACGATCTTATTAACAGAATTAACCCCCTAAAATTAATAACTCCTTATCATTTATCAACAGTGGGTGACCTTTACTTTTTCAGCATCACTTTTGTACCTTAAAGGTGCAAAGCACATACCGGACAAACTAATAAAATTTGTTAGTCTATCAAGTGCAGTCCTGATCATAATGCGCGACGACCGACTAAGTATGTAATTGCTTTTAGTTCGTGTGTTCATCGGAGTTTAACGGGCGGGTACTGTTAGGGAGTTCAACCACTAAGCAGAACGGTTAGGGTTCTCAACCAGTCTTTAGTTCTAAAAACAATCTGACGTGAAGGCGGTAGGGAAAACGGAATGGAGACCAATCTACTTCGGTTGATTATTCCTTTATTATTTCTTACCGACTGAAACGTCAACTGGAGTCAAGGCCTCAATCTGGAAGACCAGGAGATCGGATTTTGTGGGAGGTCCACTCTCTGAATTTTTAGGCATGGTCAGATCCATGGGCTTAACAAAACCCATCCAGTGTAGCTCATTGGGTCACAGAGGTGCACACGTTATTACACCACATCACTGTTTAGTCTATTTTTAAACAGGCGTGTTAGACCATTTTGCTGACCAACCTATAGGACAGTTCTCAAGTTTGATGACCCTGGACTCTAAAACTGAGGCCTCCGATCCTGCAATTCATCCGATGGTGCATCATTTTTAATGCTATTTGAAAGTGACCTGAAGCTAGCGACAAACAAGTAGTCTGACGGAATATAACGAACGATCAACGAAGAATAAGAATGATCATATGTTGCGAAAACAATAGCCGTACGGAAATCAACCACTTACGCCAGCACACAATGGACTGAACGGGTGCCACGCAAATCAATCCGATCACTTTGTTCATAAAATCGGATTCGACGAGGAGTGCAACTTCCCGCAGCATCTGGTCAATAAATGCGTGAACATATTGCTCACTCACTTTAAGTTCGCGCAAAATAAAAGACAACTGGCCAGAACACACTCGATGTTTCAGAGGCTCCAATTCGAAAGAAGTCAGGCCATACGTGAAATCACAGGAGATTACAGACAGTGTATCTACGACGGAAAAGAGTAAA